CTAAAATTTATGGGGAGTGGCAGACAAATCAAAACGCTCTATGAACAAATATGTTATAACCCAGCAGAAGTGTTTTGGAGGAAAGGAGCTCGATTCTCTGATAGCATTTAACAGTGACTAGGGGCCGGGGCAATTTCTCTTGCTGAAGAGGCCAAACTCTGCCTCTGGGGCTTCTGTACTTACTGTTCCCTCAGACTTGGAACATTCTCTTCCGGCACCTTGTCTGTAAGGCTCCTTCTTACCCTTCAAGCCCAGTTGAGATGTCACCCCCTCAGGAGGCCCCCCTCTGACCACCCTATCTCAGATAGACACACACACTCCAGCCCAAATCCCCCCTGACTGGGAGTCACTCTTGCAAAACTGTCTTCTGCTCTCCCTACTAGAATGCAGAGATCTTCTCTGTCTTGTCACACTTGTGGTTCCAGATTTGCAGTTTTTTGCCCAGTGTCAACACTCTTGTATAACTATTGAGTGCCAGAAAGTGAAATATAAATAATATACTGTAATTAAGCTGGGACTTAGAGTGCCGGCAAAAATTCCTCCTGCTGCCAGGAGGAAGGTTCTTTAAACACCCGTCCTTAGGATGGCCTTTCTGTGGTGCCTAAGCTAAGTCAGGGGAAGCTGACTGTCAGAGAGGCTCTGTCTTCCACTGTTTATGTGGAGTCTGCAGGGCTCACAATACTGTAGTCTTGCTTGTTCCTGATCATCAGAAAGTTCATTTCTGTGGGGGGAGTAGCGTGGGGAGGGGCCAGTGGCAATAAAAAGAAACCAAAAAAACGTTTTAAAAAAGGATCAAGTTTAGATCAGGCTTGGAGCCAACAGTTGAAGGAGACCATGACTGTTGTTTGGAAGAGAGGAAATAAAATGAATAGGGTGCAACATGGAAGGTAACAAAACAGAAATGCAGAAAAGGAAACACAAGGCCAAGTTGAGAGTTCAAAGGTAAAATCAGGATAGGTATGAAATTAAGAGAAAGTACAAATTAGCCTCATTCTGCCAGGCAGAGAAAATATGGCACTAGAACACACATGTGAGTTTTGAAGCAGCTCCCAGGCCCAGAAGCAGGTTTGTAAGCAGACAGTGTTGTGCCTGGAGGCTTGCCATCTCAGCGGTGGTTGCCAGCTACATGGGATGGTAGAAGGGAACACTTGTCCAATTCGGGACCAGTCTCGTTCTTCCAGAAGGGGTCTGCTTTTTGGACAAAACCCACCATCTCCTGCTGTGAGTGGTGTCTTTTTTAGGTCTTTTCTTTCTCTCTAATGGACGAAGCCAAGATAGATCCATAAGTGCTTACAAGGTAGTTTCTTCTGTCCTTACTCTACATATTATAAGAGTGTATGGAACTGGTAAGAGCACTCATTCAGCTCTGGCACTAGGTATTACAAGTGCAGTGAGGTGTCATCCATGGTCCTCAGAAGGTAACCATCTCGTAGGGAGTACAAACTCTAACGACTTCCGCTATGGAGTAGTGTGTGGAAGAAGTAATGGGGATCGTGACGACACTTAACCCAGTTTTTTTTTTTTTTAAAGATTTTATTTATTCATTTGAGAGACAATGAGATAGAGAGAGAGCATGAGAGGGGGGAGGGTCAGAGGGAGAAGCAGACTGCCTGCCGAGCAGGGAGCCCGATGCGGGACTCAATCCCGGGACTCCAGGATCATGACCTGAGCCGAAGGCAGTCGCTTAACCAACTGAGCCACCCAGGCGCCCCAACCCAGTTTTTTTTTTTAAAGATTTTATTTGTCAGAGAGAGCACACAAGCAGGGGGAGCGGCAGGCAGAGGGAGAAGCAGGCTTCCCACTGAGCAAGGAGCCCGATGCGGGGCTCGATCCCAGGACCCTGGTATCATGACCTGAGCCAAAGGCAGACGCTTAACCCACTGAAAGACCCAGGTGTCCCTTAACCCAGTTTTTTGATGAGAGATGTCAAGAGCCACAGGAGTGGCACCTCAGCTGAAACTGAAGGATGAGTGGGTGGGAGGGTGGGAGGAATGTGGGGTCTCTGGTCAAAGCTGAAGTTAAATGATGCAGGGAGGTCTGGAGTGCTGTCGTAATTCAGGTAATTTAATGGACACTGCCAGGAATTGAATAGGGCTTGAGACTAGGATGCAAGAGTGAGCAGAGTCCTGATAGTGATGGGCTTTACAAGTCTGCTAGCCATGATAAGGAGCCATAGGCATTGTCATGAAGGCGTTGGGAAGTCACTGAAAGGTATCCGACTTGGAAGAGCTTTGATCACTGTGTGCTGTCAACGTTACTCTGGCAGCATTGTGAAACATGAAATGAATGAGAGGTGGTGAGGTAGGTAAGGGGGCCTGTTCAGAGATGCTGGTAGCACTCTAGAGAAGAAATGGCAGTGGTTTGAACTGGAGGGAAAGGTAGAATTGTGAGTTGTGAAAACTGTCTATCTTGTTTGTTGGGGCAAGAGGTCACACTCTGGCTTTATAATGTTATTTGAGAGAACATGACACTTTCCAAGTGGAGCCTGCGGGGCTAGAACCAAACCCAAGTCCATCTGCCCGATGCGCAGCAAAGCCAATCACAGAGACATTAGGTATGTAGCTAGGAAAGTTTATTTGAGAGGTAACCAAAGGAGGCAGGAGCGCAAGCCTGAACTCCCCCTTTCTGAAGGGAGAGAGAACAAGGGTTTTTTTTATAGTCATAGGGGTTGAGATTATATACATATTTATGAAAACAACAGGGAAACTTACAACTTATTCATGAGGAAAGATGGAGCTTGTACCTTGAGTGTCATACATGCATACATCCCATGTTCCCTTTGGGGTGGATACTCAGCATCAGAAGGAGGCAAAATTTAGCCCCTGACCTCAGGAAGTTATCTCAGGACAAAGAGAAGGGGCTACAGGCCTGCCCTGAGAGCCAGTATAACCTGGATTGGGCCTTAGACTCCTTATCTAGGGTAAAGAATGCACAGCCTTGCTTGTTCGTAGACTGGAGCCATATCCATTGACCTTGATTCCAGGCTTCTGCAGTAACAGCTCATGAGTTTGTCAGCAGGGTCTGAAAAGACACACTAGCTGATTATGGAGAAACAGTTCTCTGAAAAAAAAAGTTTAAACTTTCTGCTAGTTTCAACTCATTAACACTATGGGGTACAGTTTCAGGGAGGCAATTGAATATATACAGTCGGCACCTTGGCTAGAGATCAAGCATGGAGACCAGGATTCGGGAGGCAGCTCTTCTCAGTGGTAATGAGGTCATGGGAGTATACACACTCACCCAGAGGGATGTGCAGAACGAAGTAACCGGAGGTCCCACAGCAACCCATTAGGAACATCACATTATGGAATTAGGCATAGAAGGAAGGGCAGCCAGAGGACAAGCTGCCAACCTGGGTGGTGTGCTTTCCTGGAAACCAGGGGGAGAGCTTTTCAGGCAGGAGAGAGCCAAGAGTGATCAATGGCTGCAGATGTTATAGACAGAGTGACATTACCAAGGAAGCAACTGTTAAAATGAATTTACCAAGAAGGGAGTCAGCTAATGACTTTGAAAGTAATTTAACTGATTTTCATGGGCCCAGAAATGAGTGGGAAGTGAAAAATACAATTGACAGGTATAGATGCCAGAGTCTCTATCTGAGGAAGCAAAGAAAACTTAAAACCAGGTTGTGTAGCCATAGGAGACATAGCGGGTAGGTCAGGTTTCATTGAGATTCCAGTTTGGGTCGGAGACCAAGATTTTCTGAAGGTAGTGTTTTGGGCAGGGCTGTAGGTTTGTGCTGGTATAAGAGAGTTATTTTAATTTTTGCAAGGTTAGGGAGTACTTGTATGATTTTTGCAAGTGTAGAAGCGGACAGTTGTGTTGACCTATGTTAGCGCACTATTTGACTGTCCTGAAACTCCCCTGGAACATTGGGGAACTTTCTGCATGCAGCCTATGTTATTATATAATGACATCTATTGTTAAAGTATTGTAATGCCCCAAAAAAGCGACATTATTTTCCTGTAAGGTTATTCAAAGTAGTAAATTTTGATATTTAAATGGTATCTCTTCACTTGTGAGAAGCTTAGTTCACTCATATGAAACATGAAATGGAGTCTTACATGAAAGACTTTAGTGCATATTTATCTTCATCTATGAACTTCATAATGCTTATTTGATAATCACTTGTTACTCTAGCATTTCTGAAGCACCCACTGGGTACACAGTGCATTAGAAAAAAGAAAACCCATGATCCCTGACTTCTAGGAAGTTGCCTTCTGCAAGGAGACTGAGCCTGAACTGACGAGTTATCATTAGTTTGTTTCAGACTATGGAAGAGTAATTGGAGCAGAGTGCTGTGTACTACAGAAGACTTCTTAGAGGAGAGGCTAGTTTTTAAATGAATTTAGAAAAAAGTGGGGATGCTTGCATACATATATATATTTTAAGACCATAAACATTGATTTTGTCTCTTCAATTCACCGTTGCATGAAAATTCAGCTTATTCCCCATCAGATAAAATGCTAATAGCCTGTTATTTAAAGCAAGCGGGGCATATCCTCCACTACTCCCACCACCTGGGTAAAAGCATGTAAGTATCATTAAAAGCTTGCCAAGGATCTTTCCATTTATTCTGTGTTACCTACCTCCTGCCAGACCACAGTCCCTGGCTGGTGAATGAGATAAACACATGTATTTAAAAAAGACATAAAAAAGCATACAAAAAAAATTTCATGTTCTTATTCTCTTATCCCTAGATGCCTGTGGTGAGCCACCCAAATATGAAACTATGGCCTTGAGGGATAGCCCTAAAAAGTATTACGAAGTTGGGGAGGAAGTATATTATCAGTGTTATCCAGGATACTTAACTCTGCGATCCGTCGTGACTTATTGTGAGCAAAATCACTCATGGTACCCTCTTGAAGAAGCTTGTTTCAGTAAGTAAACAAAAAAACAAACAAAAAATTTTTTTTGCTTTTGCTTTCTCTAGAGATTTTTACAAATTTTAGGGTGCATTTTCCCCTACAGCAAGATTTTCTCATGTGAAAATTGGTTTCAGATAGTAGTATTTTTTCCAATATTTAAGAAATCCCCAGGGGATCTTTTTCTTGGCAATTGTTTACCAGGTTAAATGTGAATTTTAAGTTTGCATACCAGTTAGTTATAGAAAATGATATTGCATTAATTGCAGAGAGTAGTGCAGAATTTTGATCTTGATTTAAATCTGTTTTGAAATTGGTGTTAAAAAAATTTTTTTTTTAATTTTATTTTAGGAAAAGAATGTAATACTCCAGGACTCGAAAATGGTGAAGTCTTTGCCCCAAATTTCACCTTTCAATTTGACAGTGAAGCTTACTTTTACTGTAATGAGGGGTAAGTTGCTCCTTAGAGGAAATAAGGTAAATGTTACTAATTCCATTTTTGTTTTGCTTCTCAAGCATTCCCATAAATGTTGCACTTATAAAAGGCCCTTGGGCCTTTTGTAGAGACTGAAAAGATAATTAATTCAAAGAAATTTATATTGAAGGAAAACAAAATTGTCTAATACTTACATATCTATTAAGTTTATTGTAAGCATCAAAAATGTAGTAATCATGGTGACTTTATCCTTGGCAAAGTGCACCCTATTTAAAATGCCAACTTTCAGATTTGAAGGAGGACTCACAGAAATGTTGTGTTCTTGAAGTCCTGTATTTCCTTACTTACATTGTCTGGTGGTTCTATCCATTACAGTGAACTGGGTACTGAAGTCTCCAACTAGTAGAAATGACTATTATGTAGAAATGACTATTATGTAGAAATGTGTATTTCTTTGTTCAATTCTGTCAGTTTTTGCTTCGTATGTTTTGATGGTCTGTCATCAGGTGGCATAAATGTTTACAACTGTTAAATCTTCTTGCTGTATGAACCCTTTATTAATGTATAATGTCCTTTGTCTCTTGTAACCTTTTTTGATTTAAAGTCTTTGGTCTGATATTAGTGTAGCCAACCTTACTCTCTTTTGGTTACTATTTGCTGAAATATTTTTTTCAGTCCATTTACTTTCAACCTGTTTTTGTCCTTGGATCCTAAGTGAGTCTCTTGTAGATAGCATAGAGTTAGATCGTGTGTTTTCATCCATTCTACTAATCTCTGTCTTTCAATTAGAGAGTTTTAATCCATTTAAATTTGAAGTAATTACTGATAAGGAGAGAATTACTTGTGTGTTTGTGCTATTTGTTTTCTATATGCCTTATAGCTTTATTGTGGCCCTCATTTCCTGCATTAGTGTCTTCTTTTTTTGCTTATTTGACTTTTTGTATTGAAATGTTTAAATTCCTTTGTCATTTCCTTTTGTGTATATTCTATGGCTGTTTTCTATGTGGTTATCATGGGGATTATATTTAACATCCTAAAGTTATAACACTCTAATTTGAATTTGTACCAGTTTAATGTCATAACACACAAAAACTCTGATCCTTTATAACTCCACCCCACCCCATTTGATTGTTTATTACACAAAATTACATCTTTATACATCATGTGTTCCAAAACATAAACTAATAGTTCTTTTAAATTAGTCCTTTAAATTATGTAGAAAACAAGATTTGGAGTTAAAAACCAAAGTTACAGTAATACTATGTTTTACATTTCTTTTTTTTTCTTTAATGTATTAGTCTCTTAAGTTACAAAGAAAACAAAAATTACGGTTATAAGTCATTGTTACAATCATACAAGCCGTTATAATTACCTGTGTATTTATCTTTAGTGAGATATTTATTTCTCCATATGGCTCAAAGATATTTTCTAGTGTCCTTTCATTTCATCTTGCAGGACTCCCTTGAGCATTTCTTATTTCTTGCAAGGGACATCTAGTGGTCACTAACTCCCTCAGCTTTTGTTTATCTATAAATAGTCTTAGTTTCCTTGTCACTTTTGAAAGATAGTTTTGCTGGATAGACGACTATTGGTTGACAGTTTTTTTCTTCTAGCACTTTTTTTTAAAAAATTTTGTTTATTTATTCATGGGAGACAGAGAGAGAGAGAGGCAGAGGCAGAGGGCTCCTCTGCAGGGAGCCCGATGTGGGACTTGATTCCAGGACACTGGGATCATGACCTGAGCTGAAGGCAGATGCTTAACCAACTGAGCCACCCAGGTACCCTCTTCTAGCACTTTTTTGAGTATACTGTCCCCCTATCTTCTGGCCTCCAAAGTTTCTGATAAGAAATCTGCTGATAATATTATTGATGATCCCTTGTATGATGACTCACTTCTCTCTTCCTGCTTTTGTGATTCTCTCTTCATCTTTGTCTTTTGAAAGTTTATTATATGTCTTAGTTACTTTTTGAGTTCATTTTTGCCTGGAGATTGCTGAGCTTCTTGGATGTTTATATTCATGTCTTTCATCACATTTGGGATGTTGTCAGCCATCAGATATTCTCTCTGCCCCTTTCTGTCTCTCTTATCCTTCTGGGACTCCCACAGTGTGTATGTTGGTCTATTTAATGGTGTCCATAAGTCCCTTAGGTTCTGCTCACTTTTCTTCACTCTTTTTTCTTCCTTGTCCTCAGACTCAATAATTTCCATCGTTCTGGCTTCATGTTCACTGATTTCTTCTGGTGCTCAAATTTGCTTTCGATGCCTCTAGTGAATTTTTCATATCCCAGTTATTTTACTTTTATGCTCCAGAATTTCTTTTTGGTTTCTTTTTAGGTTTTCTGTCACCTTATTGACATTTCCATTTCATTAATACATCATTTGCTTGACTTTCTCCAGTTCTTCCTTTAGTTCTTTGAGCATGTTTAAGATAGTTATTTTGAAGTCTTTGTCTAGTAAATCTGCCATCAGGTCTTTTTCAGGAACAGTTTCTGTTGATTTATTTTTTCTTTTCAATAGGCCAAGCTTTCCTGTTTCTTTGTATATCTTGTGATTTTGTGTGTGTGTGTGTGGAATACTGGACATTTGAATCTAATAATATGGAAATAAAATTCTTCCCTTCCCCTAGGACCAATGTTTTATGTTATTATTCATATTTTTGTGATTGTGGTAGGGTATCTCTGTTGAGGATCAGCCTAACATTTATTTATTTATTGTTAATTTAAAATGAGTTTAATTAATATATAGTGTATTATTAGTTTCAGGGGTAGAATTTAGTGATACATCAGTTGCATATAACACCTAGTTCTAACTACATCAAGTGCCCTCCTTAATGCCCATCACCCAGTAACCCCATCCCTCCACTCACCTCCCCTCCAGCAACCCTCCATTTGTTTCCTATAGTTAAGAGTCTCTTATGGTTTGTCTCCCTCTCTGATTTCATCTTATTTTATTTTTCCTCCCCTTCCCCTATGTTCATCTGTTTTGTTTCTTAAATTCCACATATGAGTGGAATCATAAAATATTTGTCTTTCTCCAACTGACTTATTTCGCTTAGCATAATACTCTCTAGTTCCATCCATGTTGTTGCAAATGGCAAGACTTCATTATTTTTGATGCTGAGTAATACTCCATTATCTCTATCTCTATCTCTTATCTATCTATCTATCTATCTATATCTATTTCACATCTTCTTATCCATTCATCTGTCGATGGACATCTGGGCTCATCCCATATTTTATCAGCCTGACATTTAAATTAACAGTCTTTCCAGTCTTTTCTGAGACTTTCCTTGGGCATGCAACTTCTTAACTTCTCTTCACATATGCAGTTGGTTTTGAATATTCTAGTCTTTAATGTTTGGCTCCAGAGAGGGTAAAGTGAAGAATGAAGTGGAGAGCAAAGAGTACTGGATGTTTACATTCCCTGAAAGGCACTTCAGATAGTTAGAGAGGGGCTTACAAGAGTTAGGGGTGTACATATGACAGCAGTGGCTGCCCGCCTCTTTGATTGCTTCCCTGTGATTGGAAGCGGAATTCAGTGATAAGAGCAAAGGTCCCCAGTATTTGGAGGACAGGGTCCTTTTTGCCCACCCTCGCTCTCCAAAACTGCTTCTAAGCTGCTCCAGGAACACATACACAGCTGCCTGCAGGGGTAGGAGATGCATACCTGACACGGTGCTAAGATGATATTGACTGAAATCAATACAATTTACCTGTCCAAGTCTTTCCTTGGAAGTTGCAAGCCATCATCAGACTTGAGCTCCAAAATAGTTCCATTAGGCAGATTCTCCCATTGCACTTGTTGTCTGGTTGGGGAGACAGGTTCTTAGTGCTTCCTACTCTGCCATTTTCCCAGAATCCTTCCCTAAATACCGTAATGTAGAAAAAAGGCAACTGGATCCATATATAAACAGTTTCACCGACTATTTTTTTTTTTAACTTGATCAAGTAAAAATATTGGAACATCCAGTTAGTAGTTATATAGAGTGAGCCTGCTAGGCAGTTTGAGGGATACAAAAGTTTAAGACATATTCTCTTCTCAAAGAAATTGTAGCCTTGTTGAGAAACACAATGTATAGAGAGGTGTCAAAGCAAAATAATAAATGAGAAGCAGCAAATAAATAGAATTATTCATGATTATTACAGTAAGAATCCAGCAGGAGAAGAGAGTACCATGAATTTAAATCACAAGAGAAAATTTCATTGAGTAATATTCCTGAGCTAGTCCCAGAAAAATATTCTTACCTAAAGAATATTAACAAGAGCTAAAAATTGCCTAGCACTCAGTATGTACCAGATGCTAAGTCATCTAATCCTTGAAACAATCCCATGAAGTATGCACTGTTATCCTCTTTTCATAGATGAGGAAGCTGAGCAAGGGGACCATTAAGGGACTTGCCTGAGCTCAGATAGAAAGTGAGTCATGGAGCTGGGACTCAGATCCAGACAGGCAAGCTCTAGGGCCTAATCTCTCTACTCGGTTGTTGTTTTTACTGAGAAGAATGGTGTGAACATAGGCATAGAAATGAATGTATAATGTGATTGCTGGAGATAGCAAAGAGGCCAGACTGACAGGTACAGCAGATGTATTTAGACATCTTTGCTTTTGTTCAATGAGAGTTCAAATGTAGAAACTCTATTTATTTATTTATTTATTTATTTAAAAATTTTTTATTTATTGGACAGAGAGAGAGCACAAGCAGGGGGAGTGGCAGGCAGAGGGAGAGGGAGAAGCAGGCTCCTTGATGAGCAGGGAACCCAAAGTAGGGCTCCATCTGGGATAATGACCTGAGCTGAAGGCAGATGCTTAACCATCTGAGCCACCCAGGCACCCCTAGAAACTCTATTTAATTAATAGCATATATGGTTAGCACTTACACTACATAATGTTATTTAAGAAACTTCTCCCTCAAACTACTATGTAGAAAAGCAATAGTATTAAAATTTTCATTTTTACATGCATCTTGTTAACTAATAGAGAAAACAGTAAGTTTTTCTTTTCTCAGTTATTACTTATCTGGAAAAAAAGCTCTACTTTGTGAACTTCGTGGGGATGATGTGTTTTGGAGTGATGAATTTCCAAAATGTTATAGTAAGTAAATTTTCATTTTAGAATTTAGACAAGCAAGCCTCAATCTTTTGGGCCTCAGATCCCCTTTGTGCTTTTAAATTGACAAAGATCCCAAAGAGCTTTTCTTTATGTGGGCTGTGCTTATTGATATTCATTATATTGGAATAAAAAAATTAGAAGTTTTAAAAATAATTATTCATTCATGTTTAAGAATAGTAAGTTCAATACATTATTAACATATGCAGCATATTTTTATGCAAAATAAATTTTCCAAACCAAATACTGAAAATAGTGCCATTGTTTTACATTTTTGCAATCTGTTTCATATTTGGCTTAAAGAAGGACATCTGGATTCAGTCTGTTGTGAAAGCACACAATATGTAGCCTTGGAAAATTTCACTGTATGTTCATAAGGATGAAAGTGAAGAAAGACAATATCTTGGTATTATTGTGAATCACTCATTTAGCAAATGTATACATATATATGCGTGTGTGTGTGTGTGTATTTGCAAATGGATATATTTAAATATAAAGAATTTCTCAGCTAGCAGTGAATTTTATTTTTAATCACAAACATATCTTCTCATTAAAACTTCAGTACCTTTTATGATGACTAGAACAAAACTTAGCATGGCCTTATAAAGTAATAATAGGTATTTCATATAGGTCTTAAAGAAAATGAGTTTTGTGTTTTGAAAGTTTATTTGTGCGTGGTTTGAATTTGGGATCATTCATTTTCTCATAGAAGCCTAAATAGGTGCTAGATTCACAGCTAGCTTGTAGAAATTGTTAATGAATTTACTGAAGGCAGTTCATAGGACTTTATAATGCTATCTTAACACTTTTCCTTTTGCCCTTTATTTCCCCTTTTTATCTCCTTTTTAAGGGATTTACTGTAAACCACCTGCAAAAATAAAAAATGGAAAATACAGCAATAGTCACAGAACTATATTTGAATATAATGAATTAATTACTTTTAGTTGTAACCCTTCACAAGGACCAGCTGAATTTTCACTTGTTGGAAACAGCAAACTTATTTGTGTTGACAATAACAAGTGGAGTAGTAGCCCTCCTGAGTGTAAAGGTAGTGGTATTTCCATTTATTTCCTTCTTCATTTGTAAATTTTAAATTTGGAAACATTTTATAAATAGTTTTATCTATAAGTAAACAAAATAGTCATATATGCTTCCTCCTTCTGTTAAATTGACTTCCAATGTAGATTAATACAGGTTAAGTGAAATCAGTTCTAGTTACAGAGTTCCCTGCTCTTCATCCCACCTGTTCTCAGCATTCTAGTTCACACAGGGTGAACTACTGTGTATATGCACAAGTTAGGAGTTTTTTGCTTGAAAGAACCCAAAAACTCAACACATACTGGGTTAAAAATAAGAAAATCTTTTCTTACATCACAAGCTATCTGAGAGTTCTGGCTACAGGATAAATTGTAAAAGACTAACCCTCTCACCGCCAAGACTGAAAAGCTCTGGACAAAACATATTTAAAAAACAATGGTCACGACACTGGAGAGTGATCAAAAGCCGGGAGGCACTAGAGGGGATTTGACTCTTGGAAGAAAGGGACCACTGAATAACAGCAAAATATTTACTCTTTTCTGACTTTTTTTTTTTAAGATTTTATTTATTTATTTGAGAGAGAAAGCATGAGTGAGGGGCAGGGAGAGGGAGAAGCAGGCTCCTACTGAGCAGGGAGCCTGACGCAGGGCTCAATCCCAGGATCCTAGGATCATGACCTGAGCTGAAGGCAGACGCCCAACCAACTGAGCCACCCAGGCGCCCCAAAATATTTACTCTTTTCAAGTGCACATGGAACATTCTCTAAGATAATTTTTAACAGATTTCAAAAAATTGAAATTATTCAGAATATATAACTGATTACAATGGAATGAATGTAGAAATAAAACAGATAACCTAGAAAACCTTCAACTATTTGATAATTATGCAAGACACTTCTTTTTTTTTTTAAAGATTTTATTTATTTATTTGACAGAGAGAGACACAGCGAGAGAGGGAACACAAGCAGGGGGGAGTGGGTGAGGGAGAAGCAGACTTCCCGCGGACCAGGGAGCCTGATGCGGAGCTCGATCCCAGGACCCTGGGATCATGACCTGAGCCGAAGGCAGATGCCTAACGGATGAGCCATCCAGGCGCCCCTATGCGAGACACTTCTAACCAACCCCTGAGTCAAAGAAGAATGCACAAGAGAATTTATTTCTCTTTTGAATTGAATAAAAATGAAAACATGGCATATCAAAATATCAAAATTTGATACATGAAAACATTGCTTAGAAGAAAATTTATAACCTGAAATAGTTATGTTAGAAAAATAGAAGTCTCAATAATCTATGCTTCCAAAAAAGAAGAGCAGATTAAACTCAAAACAAGGAGACAGAGGAGATAATATCAATCGAAGTAAATCAATGAAATTGAAGAGAGAAAATTAATGAAACCAACACCTGGTTCTTGGAGAAAAATCAGTAAAATAGATAAAGTTATAGCCAGGCTGAAAGAAAAAGAGAAGATACTTTATCAATATCAAGAATGAAAAAGAGGACAACACTAAATATCCTACGGACATTTAAGGGATAATAAGGGAATATTATGAAAACAACTTTGTGCCTATAAATATGACAACTTATATATGAAATTGACAAATTCCTTGGAAGACACAAAATACCAACCAAGGCTCACTTCAGAGATATACATAACCTAAATAGTCATCTTCTTCTTCTTCTTTTTTTTTTTTAAGTAAGCTCTATGCCCAGTGTGGGGCTTGAACTCACAACCCTGAGATCAAGAGTCACATGCTTTACCCACTAAGCCAGCCAGGCATCCCTGAATAGTCTTATATCTATTAAAGAAATAGAATTTTTAGTTAAAAACCTCCCCACAATGAGAACTGCAGGCCCAGATGGCCTCCCTTGAAAATTCTAACAAACGGTTCAGGAATAAATAATAGTAGCTCTACGCAAACTCAAAACATTTAAGAGGAAGAATACTTTTCAACTCATTTCATGAGGACATCATTATCCCGATGCCAAAACCAGACAAAACCTTTGCAAGAAAATTACAAACAATATCTTTAATGAACATAGAACCAAAACTTCTCAAAATATCGACAAAGCAAATCCTGCCACATATAACAATAATAATACATCATAGCAAAGTAAGATTTATCCCATAAATGCAAGATTGGTTCAAATTTAAAAATTAATCAGTGTAATTTACTATGTCAAGAGACTATAAATAAGAAAAAACCATGATCCTCTTAATAAATGTTAAAAAAAAGCACTTGACAATTCATCTTTTTCAGGATAAAATTTCTCAACAAACTAGGAATAGAAAGGAAGTAACTATCTCATCTAATAAAAGGCATCAACAAAAATCTCAGAGCTAACATTATATTGAATGGTAAAAGACTAATTTCCCCCATGGTAGGAGTAAGAGAAGGAAATCTACTCTCACCACTCTATCCAGCATTGTACAGGATGTCCAGCTACTACAACAAGGAAAGAGAAAGAATTAGGCATACATATTGGAAAGTAATAAATAAAGTCACTGTTCACTTAGGACCTGATGGTCTATGTAGAACAAAGACAGAAGTTCTAAAAAGCTTGCAAAATACAAGATCAACATACAGAAGACAGTTATAAGTCTGTATACTAGCAATAAACCATTAGAAATTAAAATTTTTAAAAGTATTTACAGTAGCTCCGAAACATGAAATACTTGAGTATAAATCTAACAATACATATGAAAGATTTTAAGGCTAAAACCTACTATACACTAATAGAGGAAATTAAAGAAAACCTTAATAAATGAAGGGATAGACGTTAGTTATGGTTTGGAAGATTCAATATAATAGTCAATTCTCTGTAATTTATCTAAATTCAGCACAATCCCAATAAAAATCCCAGCAGAACTTTTTGTATAAATTAAACTGATTCTAAACTTTATATGGGAAAACAAAATAACTAGAATAGTGAAAATAATTTTGAAAAAAATTGGTGGATTCACTCTACCTGATGTTAAGACTATATAAAGCATACTTAAGGCATATAATTAAGACAATGTGGTATATGTGAAAGAATAGCCATATAGAGCAATGGAATCGAATACTGAATCCAGAATTAGATGCTTGCCAATATATCCAGTTGATGTCCTTCAGGTGTACAGGTATACAAACAACTCAGTGGAAAAACAATAATCTTTTCAACAAATGGTATAGCACAATTAGACATCCATGTGCCCCCCCCAAAAAAAAAAACAAAAGGGAAACTTGACCAAAGTTAGCACCAGAAGCCAACGTTTATTCAAAATGGATCATAGAGATCCAATAATTCCACTACTGGGCATACCCAAAGAAAACAAAAACACTAATTTGAAAAGATATATGCACTCCTTTATTGCAGCATTATTTACAATAGTTGAGATACAGAAGCAACCTAAGTGGCCATCAATAGATGAATGTCTAAAGAAGATGTGTTGTATGTACACACACACACACACACACACACACACACACACACAGAGAGGAATATTACACAGCCATAAAAAGGGGTGAGATTTTGCCATTTACAAAAACACGGATAGACCTAGAGGGTATTATGCCAAGTGAAATAAGTCAGACTGAGACAGACAGATTCCATATGATTCCACTCATATGGGAATCTAAAAAACAAAACAAATGAAGAAACAAACAAAAGCAGAATCAGACCTATAAATAAAGCAAACTGATGGTTGCCAGAGGAAAGAGAGGTGGGTGATGAACAAAATCGGTGAAGGGGAGTGAGAGATACAGACTTACCGTTACAGAATGAATAAGTCATGGAAATAAAATGTACAGTATAGGAAATGTAGTCAATGATATTGTATAGTGACAAGTGGTAGCTACATTTGTGGTGAGTATAGCATAACATGTAGAGATGGTGAATCACTATGTTATACATAACCTGAAACTAAGGTAACATGTGTCAACTATACTCAAATTTCAAAAAATTTAAAAAATTAATAAAATTTAGGGGAAAAAATGGCCCACAGATTTACATGTAAAACCTAAAACTGTAAGACTTTTGCAAGAAAACAAACAAAATATTTGTGACCTAGCCAAAGATTTCTTAAATACCACCCATAAAGCATAATCTTTTAAAGAAAAAAAAAAATTGGATGTTCCAAACTCAAAACTTCTGGTCTGCAGAAGAACTGTTAAAAGAATGGGAAAAAGTAAGCGACAGACTGGGAGAAAATATTGGCAAAGCACATATCTAATGATGGACTTTTATCTATGATACATAAAGAATTCTCAAAACTTAATAACTAGAAAACAAAAACAATTTTTAAAAAAATGAACAAAATATTTGAGTAGACCTATTTCAATAAACATGATATATGGATGGCAATAAAGTACATGAAAAGTTTCTCAATATAATTAGTAATTGCAGAAATGCAATTTAAAACCACAAAGAGATACCACTAAACACCTATTAGAATGACTGAAATTGAAAACAAATGACTAATACCAAGTACCAGCAACGATATAAAGCAAGTGGAACTTTCATATATTGCTGGTAAGAATAAAAGTGGTATGACCATTTTGGAACCTATTTTTACATTTATTATAAAGTTAAACATATATTTACCATACAGCTCATCAATCCAAGTAAAATGAAAACATGCTTGCATAGAAACCTGTATGAGAATATTCAGCTGCCTTAGTTATAATCACCCCAGACTGGAAACAAGCCACTTGTCCTTCAACTGGTGAAATGGATTAAAAAAAACACTGGTACATCCATACAGTGGAATACTACTCAGCGATAAAAAGGAGTGAGCGCTAATCCATGCAGCAACAGGAATGAATCTCAAAGGCATTATGCTAAGTGAAATAAGCCATACTCAGTGGCAGTGATCCCATTATGACATTCTGGAAAAGCAGCTGTGTAGAGATAGCAAACAGATCGGTGTTGGGCTGGTTGGTGAAGGTGGTTGTGGGGGTGGGTAGGGTTGATTCCAGAGTGGCATGAGGACATGTTGGGGGGTAATGGAACTTGTCTGGGTCTTTATTGT